CTGTATTTTCAGGAAAAAAAAACCGCAAGGAGGAGCTAAAGAATGAAATTCCTCCAGAACCTGAGAATGGTCATGCTGGAAATCTGTTTGTGTTGTTCTAAAACACCTAATGGAACAAGAATAGAGAGGCTGTTTTTGAAGTCTCGGTCTTTAAAAGTAAATTTATTTTCACTTTTTGCTAAAAATCATCTCTCATATATTTAATTACCTAGAATAATATGAGATTTTCATGATATCAGTTCTATCAAACTTTGGTTCAAATTTAATAGAAAATTCAAATTTTATTTGTTTGCTTTGAAATCTGGTATATTCATATGCACATGAACTGATCTGAATTTAAAGTACTGTATATGTATGTTCTCTATTATACTTACTTTTGAAATTATTGTCTTTAATATTTTTCATACTCAAATTTTCTTAGGGTTATGTAAACAAATTTTTTCTTTGATCACCTTAAACATGATAGTTACAATAAATTACTTTGGCATTATGAGAATTATGACCATGTTTGACCATTGTTTTCAGGCATGACATTAAGAGCCATTATATCCCCGTAGTTTGTTTATTTCACTTCCTTTAGCTGAAATGTCGTATAATGTTTTTTGTTGTTTTATATATTTCAGTATCTGTATTATTTCACATTCTGTCATGAAGATTGTCCACATTGTTACAAACTTCCCGAGAAAGACATTACCATGTGAACCAACAAGTGAATATCCTGAACCAATCACATTTGAAGAAGCTGGATTAGGAAAGAATGAAATGCTTTTTGTCCAAGATAATGAATCTTGAATGGCAGATAATATGATATTCTGTGATATTAGAACACAATGCAATGTTCATGCTTGAAGATACTTCTTCTAAGTGTAAAAAATGTGTGAATTCAAGATCTTTTTATATGAAAGATGATATTGTAAGGGGGGATATTGTCCATCTGTCTGTCCATTTTCCTGTTGTGATCAATATCTTACAACCAGTTGGTCAGATTGTTATTTGAAATTAGACGGAATTTTGTTTAAAATGCCACCATGATCCACCAAATTGTTGAGGAGTTATTGACCTTTGTTATTTAAAAATAGAAGGTTTGACACTGCATAATTTCAGTTTGGAGCAATTTTGTGTTTTCAACTTACAATAATATCATTAATGATAATCTTTTCTATTTTAAACTTATTAGTATTTGGTCAAATTTCTAGTGATTAAACTGAATGATATTTTGTCGAATTTGTAGTTATCTTTATATTTTAAACTGTTTGATGTTTTGTCAAATTTTTATTAATCTTTATATTTGAAAACAAATGATATTTGGTCAAATTTCTGATCTTTAGTTTCTTTTTAAAAGCTTATTTTTCCTGAAGAGAATTGTGTAACGTTATAGTTTGGAGAAGTGACTCCTTTAAAAAAAAATACAAGTTTAATTATTTGTTTAATTTGTAACTACTTGTTTAGCATTGCCAAATAAATCAGGTTGGATTTTCATTCCTAGTCATGGGATTCATTGATTTGGAAATGTATCATTTTTATCTCAAAATGACATTTATTGTGTAGGATAACGGTAATTAGCCGGTAATTAGTCAACAATACATAGGCGGATATATTTAATATAATGAGCTGTCACCGGACACTATGCTTAATTTAGTTAATTGATGGGCATGTCATCACTTAAACGGGGATTTGTACCTATATCGTGCAAACATAATTGTTTATTTAATTGTTAGCTGTCCATTAATGCATATATACTTTATGAATTGTAAAGTTATTAAGTCTAAGGCGTATATTATTTTAGTATTTAAGGTGAGCGAAATATTATATTATTCAGTGTAGTTTTTGATGTTAAAACAGACTCACTCACTTAGGTTAAATTATGCTAAATACGCAATTGACATTGATTCTTATTACTTTACGTATTTGTATAAGAATTGTGAAATTATTAAAGACATTGGTTAAGCAATTGTTTTATCTTATAGAATAACATTTTTATGCCCCCGCCATGTAATGGCCGGGGCATATAGTGTTACCCTGTTCCGTCATTCCGTCCTTCCGTCCTTCCATCCTTCCGTCATTCTGTCATTCCATCATCATCAGTTTCCGTTCATTATCTTAAGAACGGTTGCACACATTCAACTCAAATTTGACATAGGGATATGTCATGAGAAAATACAGGTCAAGTTCGAATTTGGTCACGGTTTGATGATTTTTGGCAGAGTTATGCCCCTTTTACTTTGAAAATAATATGAAATTTCAGTTTCCTTTCATTATCTCCCCAACAGTACAACACATTCAACTCAAACTTGACATATGGATATGTCATGAGAAAATACAGGTCAAGTTCAAATTTGGTCATGGTTCGATGATTTTTGGCAGAGTTATGCCCCTTTTACTTTGTAAATAATATAAAATTTTCAGTTTCCGTTCATTATCTCCCCAATGGTACAACACATTCAACTCAAATTTGACATATGGATATGTTTTTGGAATGCCCAGGCCAAGTTCGAATTTGGTCATGGTTCAATGATTTTTGGCAGAGTAATGCCCCTTTCACTTTGAAAATAATATGAAATTTACAGTTTCTGTTCATTATTTACCCAACAGTGTTACATATTCAACTTAATTTTGACATATGGATATGTCAAAGGAATGGGCAGGTCAAGTTGGAATTTGGTCATGGTTTGATGATTTTTTGGCAGAGTTATGTCCCTTTCTTTTTGAAAATGATATAGATACATCTAAGGAATAAGCAGTTTAAGTTTGAATTTGGTTGTGGTTCAATGATTATAAACAAACTTATCTTTCCTGAATGTTGGAAAAATTTTGAACTTTCAGTTTCAGCACTCATACTTTTAGCCATTATTTTGGCTACAAATATGCAATATGCTATTTTTAAAAGGTTAAGACTGAATAATTTCAGTGCCTTGAACATTGTATGAAAATGGTTAGTGTTAACATTGAAAAGTTTTGAGGGCTTTGAACTTAAAATGAAAAAAATAATTAATGCACCATCTGAAATTTTGGCTGCATGCGGGGGCATCCGTGGCATGATGACACATTTCTAGTTATTATATGATCTAAATAAAGCTGCAATCTCATTGGTCCAAGCAGTAGTCAACAGAACTTTTTATAAAATCATATTTACTGGGTGTAGTATCATATTCACTGGCTGAATTCGATTTTCCCAGTCTAAAAATATACAATGATCATACACCGTAGACTGTTAATTACGCGTGTTAATTAAAAAATAGTTGTTGCTTTTTTTTCTTTATGGCATATTTCTCGATTAAAATATCAATACTTTACTATTATACTTAAGGGTTACACCGCAATAATGAGTATAAACTTGAATTATTTTTGTATGCGCAGCGTTCGCGTAGAAGTTGCACGCCTAACACGTGCGTCTTTCTTCCCGCGCTTCAACGAGGCAAAATTTGTACATGTATAATTATAAGGTTGCACTTTTGTGATTTTGTTAATTTCTTAGCCTATTCATATAATAAAACAATTATTGACTAGTAAACCATTGCATATGGTGTGATATTCACCGGCAGAAAGTCATATTGACCTCTGCTATCGCCTCGGTCAATATGTCATCTGCCGGTGAATATCACATATTATTATATAATCTATAAATAGCTTTGAAATGCCTTTCCCTGATTGGCTAACAAGCAACTTTTTGTAAAAAATAACAGGTCAATATCAGAGTATATTCACTGTTTTTTTTCCTAAAAATAGATTTTCAGAGTATATTCACCGGTTTTTCTTCTAAAAATAGATTTTCTGGAAATCCCTAAAAGAAGCAAGACTTTGACGTGACGTCATGCCAAGTTTGTTGTTATTATTCTGAAAAAACATTGAGTTGGGTGTACACAAGAGTCAAATTAGTCTATATTAGTTACCGTTTTGCATTTTTAAGAACAATAGGGATCAGCATGCCAATAGAAAGGGCCAAATTATGGAAACAGTAGACAAGCTGAAAAATAATGATTTCCATCATATGCAATGGCAGATCTATGTGATAAGCCATATAAAAGCTATTTATAAATTATATAATAAAACATATATGGACTTTTTAGCTGTTGAATATGATGTGATATGTACTGAAAAATTAATATTGACCTCGGCTATCGCCTCGGTCAATATTAATTTTTTCAGTACATATCACATCATATTCAACAGCTAAAAAGTCCATATTTGTATAATATTCAATGGCTCACTAGTCAATAATTGTACAATATTAATTAAATAAATACATATATCTGACGTTTATAAACTTGATATTGTGTTGACTTATTCATATTGAGTTATTCAGATCTGAGCGTTACACTACAATTGTAAGAGCTATATTGCTTGTCTTTATAAAATAAATATATCAAACTGATTTCACTCGCTTATCAATGATGCATGTTTTGTCCAAAAATATTGATCTGCCATTTTTGCATACTTTATCCATTGGTTTTAATATTTTTAGCTGTATCACCAAAGCGTAAAAATTGTCATTACCACAAGGGAAAATCATTACTAATACCATTGTATGGAAAATATTTAAGTGCTTTTATACCACATATCAAAGCAGAGTAACTAGTGATGACGTTCATATGCAAAAGGTATATAGTTGCAGCCCACCTAGTTCCAAGTATTATATCCAAAATGCGAAGACTTTTTACCTTACTAGTATGGAATTTCTAATCTGCAACGGAAACACACAAATTGTGTTTGAATGGTTGGTACCAGAATATGATGTTTTTTTTTTACATTGTACACTTGATATAGAGACAGAACAAAATTGCTTGTCAAAAACTAAAAAAAAATGTCCAGCCTCTATGCTTTGGAGTAGAGCTGTAAAGAAGATCTTAACCGCAACGGAATCATAGAAATGGTGTTTGAACAGTAGGTAGCAGAATATATAGTGTTTTTTTTAATTTACACTAAGTCTTGGTATAGAGAAATAACAATCGTCGGTTCAAAAACGACCATGCTTTGCAAAAATCTTGTGGCCATATTTCCTTGGCTAAAACTTGGTGCCTTATATTGCTGTAAAAAAGAGTCTCCAAACTAATTGAATTTCTAATCGGCAATGTAATCACACAAATGATTGATAACACAATATTGTGGGTTTTTGTGACAAAAAAACAAAACAACACTATATATAGAGAAAGAACAAATTGCCAGTCCAAAGAACAAGTCGCCAGTCCAAAAAACGACCGTGCTATGCGGAAATGCTTTTTGCTTCACATAAATGTTATTTGAACGGTTCGTAACAAAGTATGGGGTCTTTCACGTAAAACATTTTACACTTCAGTATAGAGAGAGAACAATTAAATCACTTTATCCGGATTCATAATATTATGACCAGGCTCGTGTTCACAAGATTTAAGGATCAGGGTCAAATTTAAAAAATCTAATAGTCTTCATTGTTTATCCTCAAAGATTAAAACTGGACTTGCATTATTAGCAAGTTTATGAAATTTTAGAATAGATTTATTGTTATTTCTGCAAGATAAGGGCATGTTACAGTTGATCCAAATATTGGTCCCAATCCTGATCCTAAAATTGATCCGATTATTTTTGTATTTACATGTAGTTTGTTATTTGTTGATAGTTTGGTTTCTTTGTAAATCAGCAATTTTTTACATTTTAAAATTTTGCCATTTAATTCTAGCAAACACAATTTTAGTGAAAATAAAAGCAGGATCACTAGCTTGCTCCTGATCCTGATATTGAATAGTAATCAAACTCCCAACTCCTCAGTCATTCGATTGGCAAGCAAAGGGAGACAACTGCGTAAGAGTTTGATCAAACTCCTTGCAGTGATTACCTCCCTTGACCGATTTGTAACTTCTACTGATAAGGGGAAATCACTGCGTAGGAGATTGATCAGTGTGACTTTAGTAACCGCAGTAAAATGCCGTCCTCTGCAAGCAAACAAGAGTCAAAGGAGCAGAATCCCGTTATACTGTTTAACAGATGCATTGTAAACGCATAATTATTGTATGTATTATTATCTTAACGATATTTTTTTTGTTTATTTTGTTCATGTCGGATACAAGCTTAAAGCTTACGTTTTGTACTGTTAACCATAACCGACTATAAATAAAGTTTGTCTTACTGTCTTAAGAATTACTACGGTTAACAAGTGGGACACTTGGACTAGGTTAAATTTTAGGATTGATAAGTTGATTTGTGTCTGTATTACAGTATAGCCTGTTAAGCTAGCAAACTTTGTTTGCGACAGACGTAAAGCCTTCTCATATGTTTGCACTAATCACCACACGGCAGGGTAATCAGCGTTAATCCAAATAATTTGTGACATTTTATATTATCAAGAAAGATAATTTCAAATAAATTAATAATACCTACATTGGCTACAAGACTTTTAGTACACTGCCAACTTTTTCAATTTCTGTTTGTTAGTGATCATACCTCTGAATACTTTTATAGTAATTTACACCTTAAATTTTTATAAACTAAACAATCTATATCCTAATAGGTTTTTAATAGAGGGCCGAGTTGACCTGTGCAGAGTTGGTATAGGGTCGAGTTGACCTGTGCCGAGTTGGTATAGGGTCGAGTTGACCTGTGCCGAGTTGGTATAGGGTCGAGTTGACCATTTACCGTCTAAAACATGTAAAAGGATTGTATCAATATTAAAGGCGTAGCTAAAATCATATTTATAAAAGTAAAGATTTATGGGTCAAAACGTGCACAATGCAAGGTAGGGGTGTTATTGATTCAATGGATTGTGTATCAACGAAATTTTGTAATGCGATTCAATATCCATTCCATTTTTCAAACATCAGGTATCGAATGCCAACAATTTTCAACATTTTTTCAGAACGAAAATGGAAATCAACCACAAAATTACCTTCCCTTGTATCTAATGAATGCTGGCGAATCTTTAAGCACCACATTTCAGATTTTAAAAATGGAAAATGACAAGCAATTTTTAGCCAGTGTTTCTTTGTAAAAATTATGATTACAAAATAAATTATGATGTTAATTATTGTCTATTTTAGGATTTGAAACACAGAGGGGGTGGGGGTATCGAAAAGTGAAAATTTATTACACATTTGTTGATCTTTTTCCTTCTTTATCTATGTAACATTTTCCCCCTCCCTAGAGGGAATTCTCAAAAATATGGTTGAGTCACCCAATCCCCCCTCCTGGAATTGACACTGTTAAAATCTTATAATTATTCAGGTTCCAAACACTATAATTTGCCAATTAAACCCAGTGGCTTACTTGAAATGGCAAGGAAGGCATTTCCTGCCATTTAGCCTTATCATTAAAGGGACTCCACTGAGGTTAAAAAGCCTAAAAACATAACATTTATATTTCTTACATAAATGAGGTGGGGCACTTTAAACAAAAATATATGCTAAAATAGTTAAGAAATATACTTTGAAATAAATTGAAAATCATTTTTATGCTTTTCTTATCCCGATTTGTGAAAAGCGTTCAAACGCTTTTCATTTTGGGTCATTTTCTTACAATTTAAATATATAAATGATAAACTATAAATGTTGCAATTACTGCATGTTGCCAGGTGCAGTACAATTTATACAAGCATGAGACAAAATTTTTCCCCTCAATGTAATCAATATACATTTACGTCCCATTATAATATTTTATGTTTACAATTTGTTCTTTATTAAAAATTAAAAAATAATTAGTACGAAGCAATTATAGATTACAAGAACAAAAAAAGAACTACTATAATTTATCAAAGTGGTACTAGTAAAAGTCTGTTTAAATTTGATTTTACCAATTAATCAACTGTATAATCAAAGAATCCGCATTTGGATATCCTTGGTGTCTGAATATTGCTCGGCCATAATGCTGCCTAGTTGGATAACATGGCAGTAGTGTCGTTTAAACGGACATATCTCCTAAGTAAAGTGATAAATTAAATGTCTACTAGTGTTAGCATGTTCATTTTGCATTAATCTTTCATGGGATATTCAATTTCTTTCATACCAATTAGATTGTTGAATGCATTAGGTCTGAATTGTGGTCTAATGTCGGTTTGTTTGCTGTACATTAATACAGTCATCTATTAAGATGAATAATTATAAAATATTAGATTCATGAAGGATAAATGTAGCAGTGCTAATATTTTAACATTTAATCATTTTTTTATATTTTTGGTCATGATGTGTCTTTAATGTAAACTGTTTGGAGGAGAATTGGACTAAGGTATTTATTCTTTTTAGTTTACAGTTGGTTATCTATCTCTAGATGGTTTATTAATTCTATTACATGTATTATGTGTATTATGGGTTTTATATGTCTTGTACTGATTCTTGAGTTGTTTTGGATTTTGTGTAAGAATTTGTAATGGATGATCTAAAATACTATTTCTTCTATTCTTAACACCTTGCATGAATATAACCTTAAGTTCACAGCACAAGTCACAAAATTACACTGGATGTTAGAGTGATCGATTGTTTGTGGAGGAATATTTATAGAGGGTACTTGTATCACTCACAAGGTATATAATGATGTTTTGTATTTATTGTGTAAGTTATATACATATTGTACATGTATGTAAATAGTAGATTATGATGATATGTACTTTTATGATAATGTTTGTATAAAAGAGTAATTAATCACATTTAAATAAGTACATGTAGATTACTATTTAAATTGATTTATTTAATATTAATATAAGTACAATGATATCGTGTAATATATTTGTGATGCCTTATTTTCTTTTCAGGCCCATTGTTTTGTGTAATTTAGATTGTATGTACTACACCAAATAAATATCTAGCAAAGAACCCTATAGAGGCCCAGCTGCTTGATTGGCTCCCAACGTTGTGGATTGTCGTGGTACATTGGTGTTGATTGGCGTGGTAAAGTTGTGTTGATTGGCGTGGTAAAGTTGTGTTGATTGGCGTGGTAAAGTTGTGTGGATTGGTGTGGTATAGTTGTGGATTGGCGTGGTATAGTTGTGGATTGGCGTGGTATAGTTGTGTGGATTGGCGTGGTAAAGTTATGTGGATTGGCGTGGTATAGTTGTGGATTGGCATGGTATAGTTGTGTGGATTGGCGTGGTATAGTTGTGTGGATTGGCGTGGTAAAGTTGTGTGGATTGGCGTGGTATAGTTGTGTGGATTGACGTGGTATAGTTGTGTGGATTGGAGTGGTATAGTTGTGTGGATTGGCGTGGTATAGTTGTGTGGATTGGCGTGGTATAGTTGTGGATTGGCATGGTATAGTTGTGTGGATTGGCGTGGTATAGTTGTGTGGATTGGATTGGTATAGTTGTGTGGATTGGCGTGGTATAGTTGTGTGGATTGACGTGGTATAGTTGTGGATTGGCATGGTATAGTTGTGTGGATTGGCGTGGTATAGTTGTGTGGATTGGCGTGGTATAGTTGTGTGGATTGACGTGGTATAGTTGTGGATTGGCGTGGTATAGTTGTGTGGATTGGCGTGGTAAAGTTGTGTGGATTGGCGTGGTATAGTTGTGGATTGGCATGGTATAGTTGTGTGGATTGGCATGGTAAAGTTGTGCGTGGTATAGTTGTGTGGATTGGCGTGGTATAGTTGTGTGGATTGGTGTGGTATAGTTGTGTGGATTGGCATGGTATAGTTGTGTGGATTGGCGTGGTAAAGTTATGTGGATTGACGTGGTATAGTTGTGTGGATTGACGTGGTATAGTTGTGTGGATTGACGTGGTATAGTTGTGTGGATTGGCGTGGTATAGTGTGTGGATTGGCGTGGTATAGTTGTGTGGATTGACGTGGTACATCGGTGTTGATTGGCATGTTAAAGTGGTGTGGATTGGCATGGTGTAGTTGTGTGGATTGGCTTGGTAAAGTTGTGTGGATTGGCTTGGTAAAGTTGTGTGGATTGGCTTGGTAAAGTTGTGTGAATTGACGTGGTATAGTTGTGTGGATTGGCGTGGTATAGTTGTGTGGATTGGCGTGGTATAGTTGTGTGGATTGGCGTGGTATAGTTGTGTGGATTGGCGTGGTATAGTTGTGTGGATTGGAGTGGTATAGTTGTGTGGATTGGCGTGGTATAGTTGTGTGGATTGGCGTGGTATAGTTGTGTGGATTGGCGTGGTATAGTTGTGTGGATTGGCGTGGTATAGTTGTGTGGATTGGCATGGTATAGTTGTGTGGATTGGCTTGGTAAAGTTATGTGGATTGGCGTGGTATAGTTGTGGATTGGCATGGTATAGTTGTGTGGATTGGCGTGGTATAGTTGTGTGGATTGACGTGGTATAGTTGTGGATTGACGTGGTATAGTTGTGGATTGGCGTGGTATAGTTGTGTATTGGCGTGGTATAGTTGTGTGGATTGGCGTGGTATAGTTGTGGATTGGCTTGGTAAAGTTGTGTGGATTGGGGTGGTATAGTTGTGTGGATTGACGTGGTATAGTTGTGGATTGGCGTGGTATAGTTGTGTGGATTGACGTGGTATAGTTGTGGATTGGCGTGGTATAGTTGTGTGGATTGGCATGGTATAGTTGTGTGGATTGGAGTGGTATAGTTGTGGATTGGCTTGGTAAAGTTGTGTGGATTGGGGTGGTATAGTTGTGTGGATTGACGTGGTATAGTTGTGGATTGGCGTGGTATAGTTGTGTGGATTGACGTGGTATAGTTGTGTGGATTGACGTCGCACAGTGTCGTTGGTATTGGATTTATTGGTTATTGCGTGGATCAATCTGAGGACAGATTCTGTCATTGTGAGAGGAGTAGCATCATTGTGGAACTGTATGACTGTGTATGTGTGAAATTGGTCAAGTGAATCACTTATTACCTAGGTGTTAGTATTGTATATTGGTGAGTTTAAGTGTAAATATTTACCTGGGTCACTACTTGTATATTTTATCTGTTTATATAATTTAAGTAAATTATAATATACATTTCGAAGGATAATTTCATATTAATTATGTAATTAATCATTTGTTGATTTATAAGTCTTTAAGTTAAGCAATTATATTCAGTATATATATTATATTATATTCCTCACGATCTCTGGTAATTAATGGTTATTTACATGTATATGTTTATTTAACACATATAAAATTATTCTGGTTTTAGTTTTTATACTGTTTAACCCTTCAAGTATGTGCATTCTGACCAGACATATTTTGTTGCCTTCTCAATATATATATATAATTATATTGATACTGAATTACCTTAAATAACAAATGGACTGTTCTTAAACTAAAGCTTGACAAGTCCATTATAAGATCAGTAGGGTAAAAGGTAAACCAATGTTTATATTTCTTTATTTCATATATAGCCAGAAATATCTAAGAAGAAGAGCATAAGTTCAGCATGCTAAGAGGTAAACCAATGTTTATATTTCTTTATTCCATATATAGCCAGAAATATCTAAGAAGAAGAGCATAAGTTCAGCATGCTATGAGGTAAACCAATGTTTATATTTCTTTATTCCATATATAGCCAGAAATATCTAAGAAGAAGCAAGGGCGTAGCGCCCATTACGCACAATACGAAATTGCGTATAAAAAAATTCGGAAGGTAAAAAAAATAAAGTTGAGAAAATCTAAGTTTTAATGATTTCATCGCTATAGATCTAAATCTCCATTTTAGTTTACAAAATATTTCGTTAGACCAATCCTTTCTAAATCGTTTCCTTTGGGATAGCATTATTTTAAAACGACTTTAAATCTTGTAAGTTCTGGATCAAGATTTTAAAAATCATCAACTCGGGGCAAAATTTAATTTTTGGTGTGTTGTTGTGTCCGCCAAAATTCCAGGACAAGCGACCCTGTTTATGGTCCACAGAACCGCTAGAACCTCCCTGGGAGCACAATTCCTGGATATCGGAAGTATGGATATCAGAAGCCGACTAAGAATGCCAGATTCTAAAAAAAAAAGGTCCTCACCGAACGGTTCGAGCCACATACAGGTTGGGTTGCACCTCTCAGAGAACTCGAAAAAAGGCACCAAGTAGGCGAGTGCCAGACTTTGCGTTTGAGCAAGAGAAGCACCCATCTTCTTAAGGTACATCCCTTTATTTGATGGGGTATTTTGTGCTCCATGTTTTGCCTTTAATGCGGCTGAAAATATGCTTATTACTCGTCCGTTGATTGACTGGAGCAACGCAAGAAAAGTCGTTGATTGGCACACACACTCAAAAGAAAACATGAAACCCATCACAAGAGTCGACCACTTTGTACACATCTGGAAGGAAGAGCAGAATGAGGTCGAGTTCGGATCAACGGCCTATCGGCAGAAAGTACAAAAGAACAGGGATCGAGGCGTTAGCAGCCATCATTGAGACCATATTTTTTTAGGGAACAAAATATATCTATGAGTAAGTCTGTTACTTTCTCATCACCGCCTGAGGAGACCTATGGAGTGATCATTAGACCATTTACTATATCGTTGTATCTGGTAATTTCCCTACTTTCTTACAATGGAATAGAAGTGTGCTCAGAGTATAATTTTTCTTGTGCATTTGGAAATACTATATACACTTGGACAAATCAGACTGAAGGCTTGAGAGAAAAGCCGTTCTTACCAAACTGATTTGATGAGAAATGCTAAAAAAAAACTTGTTATCTGGTTAAATGCATTTTACAATTGAACGGGCATTCATACATAAACCAATTTCATGATCTGCATCCTTAATCAAACTTCACATGGAAAAACTTTTGTGTCTGTTTATATGCACGTGTAGAATAAGAAAACTACAAGGCGTACACTGCCTTTTTTCTTCACAAATCTGTTTCGAAGTTATAATGAAAGAAGTTAATCAAAGGGCTGCAAGCTCTGTGGTATTTTCTGATCTATGCATTCTAAATCGTACTGTATATCTGTATGTATTTTCCTATATAAGTTTATTTATATGTACTATAATTCATCTTGCAAGGCACCAGAGTTTGATATATACGGAATTTCACATAACTAGAGTTGCATCAAAATCATTTATGTTCATTTTTTATGACAGCCATACTTTATTCTTGCATATCAAGGCTACTTCCTTAACAAAGACACTTAAAAAGAATTTTAAAAAAGTTGCCTCGACTGGGATTTGAACTCTCACACACTAGACGAGCACATTACCCTTGCACCACGGATAAGTTATACAAACAATGTCTGAGTAAAATCAAGTCATTCTTAATTTAGAACTTCCATTGCATTACGGGTTTGTTATCCTTATTAATTTCGAGGTATTTGTTCAGGATAAACCTGTTCTTTAAAATTGAAGTAAATAATTTAGCAAAAATCTTCTCGCCCAAACAGTCCGACATGTAGAATCTATATATTCCACTACTCGGCAGTCAGATTTATTTGTGTAGTATTCGGTAATCGACATCGCTTGAAATAGCATTACCATTGATTAAAATCATATTCCTCCGCGTAATTTGTGATTTGGCATTTATTGACAATTCTATAAGCCAACGCTACTTTTAAACTTTGAATGCGTTGTAATTTGTTGGATACTTGTAACAAAATAAAAATATTTTTTTCTTTTAAATCGCTAGTTTTAAGCTGATTTGAGAACTACTTGTTGTTAGGTTTGTCGTGAAACTTCTGTGTCAGAGATTGAATGTCAGCTTTGTATTTACTGATCTTCGATCAGAAAATACAAATAGTAAAACGAGCAGCTATATGTTTATCAATTTATGGAGAAAAAATGACTTGAAAATGCTTCATGCTTTACGTGCAAAAGGTGCTTCAAGACATGCCAGAGCCCACGATTTAGCATCTAATTTTTCAAAATTTTCCGGGGGAGACCACCAGCGGGAGGGGGACACCCCCTCCCGCACGCTCCCCCTCTCGGCACTTCGTGCCTCGCTGTGCGTATAACTTTTCAAGCCCTAGCTACGCCCCTGAGAAGAGCATAAGTTCATTTCATATATAGCCAGAAATATCTAAGAAGAAGAGCATAAGTTCAGCATGCTATGAGGTAAACCAATGTTTATATTTCTTTATTCCATATATAGCCAGAAATATCTAAGAAGAAGAGGATGAAACATTTTAATTCAATATGGCGGAATATTGAACCTCTACTGTGGCGCTGTCGTCTTGAACAACAAAAACAACTCTCACCAAAATAGCAGCAAAGTCCCTCTACATCATGGTAAGTATTTTTACTCTGTTTACTGCAGGATGTAAAGTGTGTAGGAGATCAATGGGGTTACATGAGATATATGAGATAAATGTTTAATATTAATGGGGTTACATGAGATATATGAGATAAATGTTTAATATTAATGGGGTTACATGAGATATATGAGATAAATGTTTAATATCAATGGGGTACATGAGATATATGAGATAAATGTTTAATATCAATGGGGTTACATGAGATATATGAGATAAATGTTTAATATTAATGGGGTTACATGAGATATATGAGATAAATGTTTAATATCAATGGGGTTACATGAGATATATGAGATAAATGTTTAATATCAATGGGGTTACATGAGATATATGAGATAAATGTTTTAATATCAATGGGGTTACATGAGATATATGAGATAAATGTTTAATATTAATGGGGTTACATGAGATATATGAGATAAATGTTTAATATTAATGGGGTTACATTAGATATATGAGATACATGTTTAATATCAATGGGGTTACATGAGATATATGAGATAAATGTTTAATATCAATTGGGTTACATGAGAATATATGAGATAAATGTTTAATATTAATGGGGTTACATGAGATATATGAGATAAATGTTTTAATATTAATGGGGTTACTTGATGAGATATATGAGATAAATGTTTAATATCAATGGGGTTACATGAGATATATGAGATAAATGTTTTATATTAATGGGGTTACATGAGATATATGAGATAAAATGTTTAATATTAATGGGGTTACATGAGATATATGAGATAAATGTTTAATATCAATGGGGTTACATGAGATATATGAGATAAATGTTTAAATATTAATGGGGTTACATGAGATATATGAGATAAATGTTTAATATTAATGGGTTACATGAGATATATGAGATAAATGTTTAATATCAATGGGGTTACATGAGATATATGAGATACATGTTTAATATCAATGGGGTTACATGAGATATATGAGATACATGTTTAATATCAATGGGGTTACATGAGATATATGAGATAAATGTTTAATATCAATGGGGTTACATGAGATATATGAGATAAATGTTTAATATCAATGGGGTTACATGAGATATATGAGATAAATGTTTAATATCAATAGGGTTACATGAGATATATGAGATAAATGTTTAATATTAATGGGGTTACATGAGATATATGAGATAAATGTTTAATATCAATGGGTTACATGAGATATATGAGATAAATGTTTAATATTAATTTTTCTTTGAATAACTGAAGCATGCAACTTTCATGATTGTTGTTGTTATTGTTGTCACGGGCTCTTCTTCTAGAATGATTGTTGTTGTCATTGTTGTCACGGGCTCTTCTTCTAGGCCCCCTTGAGTATACTAGTCTGTACAAGTTCAAAAAGTACTACATGTATGTAAAAATTAGTATATAGGGGAAACATCTGGGGATATTTTAGTATTACTGGGTACCAAAACGTATTGTTGGGTAACTTGGTACCATATTGCAGTTTTCGATGTGTCTGGGTATATCCATCGTCAGTATATTCCAAGGTACATGGTGGGCTTACACGTAGAAGACCAA